TGATAATGACAGGTTCTGGGTCTCAATGGCAGCAAGAATGCGATAATACGTTACCCACGAAGAAGCAAATGCTCCCACCTGATAGGTAAGGGGTACCTTTTGTAGGAGTTTGCGGGTAAGGCAAGGAAAGGTACCGGACCCTGAGCTCCACGGCCCGAGTGGCGGCGGAGAAGCAAAAATTGCTCTTCTAGAACAAGGCAGCTGGGTTTCCAGGCAAGGCAAGGCTGTCATTTTCGTCTCTTGACTTGTACGGAGGTACCTGTACAAGCTCCGTATAGGGACTTGTGCTCTGCACAGTGTAAAGCCCTGGAGTCCATCTCTCTCTAATACTCCGTACCTTGCTGTGCCTGATTCACCACGCTGGAAATGGTGAACAAATGGAGTTGATCTGCCAGCAATTGAGGTCACCTACAACATGTACTGCAGGCTGCGAGGACAGGTAGCCGATTGATAGTACTAGTACGTACATACATTGCTGGCGGGCCTGGCCGAATCATCTCCGACTGGCTCCGACCCCAGATTTGCGGGCTGCTAGTGCGAACGGACCTGGGAGGTCCAAGCAATCTGGAACACCGTTTAACCGCTGTAATTTTGGAGGATCATTACGGAGCACCTCCGGGGGAATATAGAGTAAATATAGATATATCAGTACTTATAATGCTGGCAATAGATAGCATGGAGTGTTCAACGGGTCACCGGAATAGAATAGAAGAGCTGTTCTGGAACATGCGGAGATGTTTTGGGCAGAGACATGATAGTATTAGGAGCCCTGGATGGAAAGGGCCGCAGGATCTGATGTCAGCTGTCCGATATGCATGGACGGGGCACGGAGAAGTTTTGCGATCGCGGCGTAATACCTGTTCAGAGCGCGGCTTGTCCGGACTGCGAATATGCGTCTTCCGATCTTTCTTTGTTATCGCAGCACTTGTGATGGCGGGTTGTTGGGTGCTTTAATGCCTCGGAGAAGCCATCGCATGTGGGTTGTCCTCTCCTTGTGATACCAATCAGGTGCAAAAACCGGATACCTGGCAAGGCTTGGAGATCCTGAGTCAAACAGGTACAGGTACAGATGCTCCAATCCTTCCGCCAAGTACAGAGTACCTGGCTCCCGCTCTGTGACTCTCACGTGGCGGACCAGAAAGGCCGCCGTCTCAGGGTCTTCTGACCGCTGTAAACTTGGAACTGGGCAGCCTCTCCACACAAAAGTGCCTCTACGGCGGACGGTTCTCAACGCGGCGCCAGGGGCACGAGAGATGGCGCACACAGTACCGGGTACTTGCACCAACAAAACGGGTGGCAGTTCCGCCAAAACCTTGCAGCCGCCCATCCAATTGATTCGACAAGGAGGTGAACTGTCAATATAATTTTTTTTCTTAGCAGCAGCCATTTTTCCCTCTCTTCTACCTCCTTCGAAATCAGCCTGGACAAGAATCCCTTCTCTTCCCTCTCTTCCTGTGACGCGCCCAACGTCGCCTTTTCCCTTCATTTTCCTTCTTCATTTCTTTCTAATAGACCTAGACTTACAGATACTACTAGAGGGGATTCCGTGCTAGAGGGGCGTCTCCGGCATATTTTCTTGTCTTCCGTTTCCTCTTTTTTTTTGGCGCTTTTCTTCCCCCTGCGAAGCCCCGATTTTCCCACCACAGCTCCACAGCCTCGCCGTTTCTTCCTCCACAGTCAAAGAAGCCAACAACTTTTTTGCTGCTCCTCTTCGTCTTCCCCGCTGGCATTTCCTCCTGCTGCTGCTTCCCCGAGATCAGAGAGAGAGAGAGAGCGTCGGGCTTGCCTTCTTGTTGCCCCCTCCAAGATGTCGGGCGTTTCAACCGTCAAGGAAGCTGTCAAGGAGAGCCTGGTGGGCGTCGAGGAGCCTGCGCAGCTCTCGGCGCAAACCAAGGCTCGCTTCAACAGCCATGCGATCAAGGACCCTCAGACGGGCGAGTTGTATCTGGGGCCTGAGCAGTTCATCGACGCCATTGCGCCCAAGGACGAGGACTATGTGAGTCTGCCATTGAGCCTGAGCCTGTCTTGTTTCATCCCCTTCTCCTCCCCCCCTATTTTTTTTCTTTCTCTTTTCTATGTCGCAGAGTCCCCTTTTCTTTTTTTTTCGCAGTGTCTCTGGGAGATCGGAGTCATATCGGTGCAGTTGCGGGACCCAGTGACTAACCAGGTATCGCACTTGAACAGCACAAGATCAAGAGGGAACAGTACTCCATCCTCTTTGGTGTCGCGGACAGCAAACGCACCGGCCGGGTCTCGTTGACCGACTGGAGCGTTTTCGAGAACCTCCTCGACAAGCCCGATGCGGAGTACGAAATCGCCTTCCGTTTGTTCGACGTCGACCGCACTGGCATTGTCAAGTACGAAGACTTCAAGCGCCTCTACGAGCTCAACAAGGGCCCCGACAACATCCCCTTTGACTGGGACTGCGAATGGGCCAAGCTGTACATTGGCAACAAGAAGAACCGACACCACCTCAACTATGCGCAGTTCTCGCAGATGCTGCGAGGCCTCCAGGGCGAGCGCATCCGACAAGCCTTCCACCGCTTCGACAAGGATGGCGATGGTTACATTGACCCCGAGGACTTTGAGCGCATCATCCGCGAGACGTCGAGACACAAGCTCTCTGACCATCTGCTCAACAACCTGCACACGCTGTGCAACATCTCGGCTAGCAGCAAGGTCTCCTACGCCAACGTGCGAGCCTTTCAGAACATGATTATGGAAATGGACCTGGTCGAGTTGATCTTGCGCCGCGCCGTCTCCAAGACCAAGGACGGCAAGATCACAAGAGCCGAATTCATGAACGAGGCGGCCGGCACCACACGATTCTCGCTCTTCACGCCCATGGAGGCCGACGTCCTCTTCCACTTCGCCAGCCTGGACGAGCCGTCCGGGCGCCTGGGCCTCCGCGACTTCGCCAAGGTTCTGGATCCTTCATGGCGCAACCCCATGTACGACGTCCTGGACACGGCCAGCGGCACGGTTGGAAAGGCCGCGTCCACAGGCAAGGCCGTCTTGCGACAAGCTGCCGAGTCGGCGTACAACTTTGGCCTGGGCAGTTTAGCCGGTGCTTTCGGTGCCTTCATGGTGTATCCCATTGACCTTGTCAAGACCCGCCTGCAGAACCAGCGCGGAGCACAGCCCGGGCAGCGCCTCTACAAGAACTCTATCGACTGCTTCCAGAAAGTAGTGCGCAACGAGGGCTTCCGCGGTCTGTACTCTGGCGTTCTGCCTCAGCTGGTGGGAGTCGCGCCCGAGAAGGCCATCAAGCTGACCGTCAACGACTTGGTGCGCGGCCGCTTGACTGACAAGCAAGGAAAGATTCCCCTGTGGGCCGAGATTGTCGCTGGTGGTACGGCCGGCGGTTGTCAAGTGGTAAGTTGTGTTGAAGCTCCCTAGCCCCTTTTAAGAGGAGAAGATCATGGATGATCTTTTTGTCTAACCGAACGCTGTTTGTAATCTAGGTCTTCACGAACCCTCTCGAAATTGTCAAGATCCGTCTGCAGATCCAGGGCGAAGTCGCCAAGACCGTCGAGGGCACGCCCAAGAGGTCCGCCATGTGGATTGTCCGCAACCTTGGTCTCGTCGGCCTGTACAAGGGCGCATCGGCCTGCCTGCTGCGAGACGTGCCCTTCTCGGCCATCTATTTCCCCACGTACAGCCATCTGAAGAAGGACTTCTTTGGCGAGTCGGCGACCAAGAAGCTCGGCGTCCTGCAGCTCCTGACTGCTGGTGCCATTGCCGGTATGCCTGCGGCCTACCTGACGACGCCGTGCGACGTCATCAAGACCCGTCTCCAGGTCGAAGCTCGTAAGGGTGAGGCGACCTACAACGGACTGCGACACTGCGCCAAGACCATCTGGAAGGAGGAGGGCTTCACGGCCTTCTTCAAGGGCGGCCCGGCTCGTATCTTCCGATCATCGCCCCAGTTCGGCTTCACTCTGGCCGCGTACGAGGTTCTTCAGACCCTGCTGCCCATGCCCGGATCGGGACACCACAAGGACAATGTGCACGTCAGCATGCCGGATCCTCTGTCTGCCTTGAGGCCCAAGAAGGAGTCCAGCCACTTTGCCCGCAGCCGCAACGCGCTCAAGATCATCCTCGATCTTGACGAGGACTTTGGCAAGATTAAGATGCCCGACGAGAAGGGATGGAAGTCGCTGCCCAAGATGATTGGCGGTGGTGGCCAAGCGGCGTAGTGAGAGAAGAGAAGGGGAAGAAGGACATGATGACATGGATAATATAAAACAAGTTGGGGTTCAAAGAAATGAAGAAAGAAGACGAGAGACGTGCATCGTCGAAGCCTCCTATACGAGGGAAGCATTGTCAGGTTTCTCTCCGATGATACGATGCATCAGACTAGGCGTTTTGGGTTGATATACTGCGAGCACAAAAAAGGGGCGAGTTGCTTGTATACTTGTCTTCTATTATGTGGTTTTTTACTTCTACCATTCCCTTTTTTTGGTTCCTTTTGATCACATTGTATTTCTATCAGCCCGAATCCGATCCCGATCCCGATCCCGACGCCGAACCGCTTGTACCCCAAACAGGAGAATCACAAAAGAGGAGCAAGCCATGAGGGATAGAGAAAAGCTATGGGAAAGTGGTGTCTTTATGCGAAGAAGGCGGATATGACTCTTCTTGTGACTCGTTGGCTCTCTGTGTTTGATATTTCCTTTTCTTTTTGTTTTTTTCTTATTTTTCGTTGATTTTATGAGATGAGCTTTAGATCTAGACACGGCATATGGACTAGATGGGGTGGCATGGTCTAGATTAAGAATAGGGGGTTCCTTTGGAGGAGATGGTCCTCGCGGTGTTTCGATAAGATGATGTTGTAGGGATACATGTGGTCGTTGTTGGCGCAACAAAAAGTGTCTTTTTGCTTCTCTTCCCCCTGGTTCCAAGCGTGTTAGTCCCTAGGCATTGAAATTTTGAGAGAAGGAAAATCATGCAAATATGGCCTTTGCATACCTTTGGGGTGAGTTAGGACATTCATCTCTTTACTCTACTTTCTCGACCTGGACCACCGATGATCTGACGAGATTTTCGTACCCGCTCCAGATGTGCGCCCAGGGCGATTCGCACTCGGGCTCAAAAGGCGGCACCTCCGCCCCGACGGGGCTCGTCATGGCATCCGCCAGCCAAGCAAGATAGTCCTCGAAGCCGGTCGTGCTGCCCCCGAAGCGCACCCTCTTGACGCCGCGGACGGCGTCAAAGACGGCGAGGTTGGCGCAGTCGACGCCGAGGAACATGGCCTGGACGACGTCGACGGACAGCTCGTCGAGGCCGGAGAAGGCGTCGCGCGCCTTTTCGCGGTCAAAGGGCAGGGGCAGGTCGAGGCGGACCTGGACGTGGAAGCGGCGGATCATCCGGGGCACGAGGACGGCGGCCTCGCGGAGCGGCGGGTACCAGTTGCGCAGGCGGGGGAAGGAGGTGAGCAGGGAGGGGTGGGCGATGAAGATGTTGGATGCGTAGAGGAAGGGGGTGGCTTCCCAGTTGATTTGGCGGTTGGCGAGGAGGATGGCTGGGTGGACGTGGTGCGGCGAGGGCTCGTCGGATGATGAAGACGGTGGTGATGCGGAGGAGAGGGCGTGGTGGGAGGATGACGAGGCGGGGAGGGAGAGGAGGTGGGCGTAGATTTGGAAGCGGAGCTCGAGGGGGAGGGACATGAAGCCGACCTTTGGTGTTGATGATGGTGGTGACATTGTCGTTGTCGATGATGATGGTTCTGTTTGTGTCGATGATGGAGTTGTTGAGACGGCTTTTGTTGGGGGGTGTTGGTGGAGGGCTTCGAAGTAGGCGAGGTGGTTCATTGTGTAAGTTGGTTGTATAAGTGGACTTTTGCTGATGGCTGTTGATAGATGGGGGGTGTGTAGTCAGGTTTGGTTGACGCAAGGTTGCTGCTATCCAACTATGAAGCAAATGGATATAAAACAAACTGCTTTATTGTTTTCGATATGCTTTGAGAGATTCAAACATACTACAAGACGAGAAAAAGCCCAAGGGGGGGAGAGGCAGACACAGCTTATATCTGAACCAAGGCCACACATCTCACCACTCACCCAGGTTCCGTACGTATGTACCTCTTCCCAGCAAAACACCGAGCAAAGCGAGCAATAGAGTTTAGCCTGCCCGCATGCCGGAACCCACTAGGAGAAAAAAATGATATTTAGAATAAATGTTAAATCCGTAGAATCGCACATAGAAAAACCGACAGTGATGGAAACTCAACTCGCCTTGTGGAGGCAAAAAGCGGTACTAATTTGGGGACGAAAGACAGAAATGGGAAATAAAACAAAAGGGGATGCTGCCCACCATCTTTCCGGCTGAGTGAGTCGGCACTAAGGGAGACCACGGGAGTTGCATCAGCCAATGGAAAAAGTTCCGAGGTTAAAGAAAATACTGCATAGGGTACGAGTTTATGTTCAAAGAGGGAATTAAACCAAGGGCTGGTGGTTGATACTGCAACGGGAAAGGGGGTGGGAGGGAAGATTCTCAGCCCAATGGATTCATCGACTGGGACAAGGGCACGTCATTCGGGATTGAAGCTTTTGAATGCCATGTTATGGCTCGGATCGGCCGTTGCATGTTTTTTTGGGCTTAGACGAAAGTGGCGTTGTTTTTTGTGGTGGTTACAGGAGATAGATGGTGGCTTGTCGGATGTTGTTTACATGTGCGTTAGTGGCATGCGGGTGCTGCTAGCCTGGCCCGATTCTGACGATATGGATATGGCTGATGGACTGGGGGGGTTGCTGATTGATCAGTCGAGGGTGCTGGGAGTTGAAGATATGGGCGGTTGAGGCTGTGTTGGGAGTTGGTGATGGTGATGGTGATGAGCCGGTTGCGTTTTCTGCTGCCGCGGCGGGAGCGAGAAGCGAAAGGGAGCTCTTCTTTTCCGGTTGGGCTGAATCAATGGAGATGTTCTGACTTGGGTGTGGCTGGGGGAATACTTGTGATGTGCAACATACAAAGAACAGAGCAGCGTGTTAGCGATGATGACAATTTAGACGACAGTCTTGCTGATGCTCGTTTTATCTGCCGTGGAGGCTCTCCGAAGGGAGATCTGATAGAGTTTGCGCTCTGCTTACTTGAGACGGGAACCCTTATCATCTGAGTTGAGCCCGTCGAGATGTTACTGCTGACTTGACTCTTCCTTCACTTGCTCGCATGCGGTATCAAGAGTCTGCTCTAACGTCTCTCGCTCTCATGTAAGCTCACCTCCTAAATTAGTGCGCGTCACTCGGCACCAGACACCCGGCAGTATAACAACATGGAAAAGGCATCAACAGCTCCCGTACTGGACGGGCTTGACTCGGTCGCATTCAATGGATTACCTACATACATACATAGGCAAGTCGCAATCGTTCGTGCATTGCGTCTCGGCAGCTGCAAGACTGGGCGGCTGGCCAATTGCATTGATGGGTAATGTATCTCTGCCTTGGGCATCGCCTTGTCCCAACTTCAATGGCCTCACCATGGATGTTTTCTCAGCCAGCCACCAAAGCCACCAGATTCCCGAGGCATTGGATCAAGACTCGCCAGAAGCAGGGAGGCACTACTGCAGCTAGCAGCGGCAGGCCGCCAGAATGACAGCTGAAGGTGAATCCTGGCGTACAGGCACATACTTTCACAAACCCTCATTCGCTGGCCATGTCCGAGTGCCTCAGGTGGTCACTTACAGCATGGTACAATAGCCTCAGTTGCTGCTCCTGGCACAAAATACGTGTACCGGCATGGACGAATTGAGCTTTTCTAAACGGGGCTGCCGGGATCGGTACACACGTAGGTATTCAGCTTCTGTTTAATTAGCGTTCCATCAAGCCATCAAAAGTGGCGCGAATCTGCTGCATCTGCCACAGCCGTCGTCCGATCACGCCAAGCCTCACACCATTGCCCAATCTATGTTGCCCCTGGTCGACAGCTCTGATAGCGAATATCTCGGAAGTCTGGGTGCAGGGCGACAAGAACCATGGCAAAAACACGAGATGTGTGCCTTGCATGCGTGACGTTGGAAGCTGCCGAGGATGAGAAAAAGGGGAATCTTTTCCTTGAGAATTTTTTCTTTTCTATGGCAACGATGGCGTTACATGGAGATGCACAGATCATACCAGGGCACGGAGAATTTCCCTCGCATCCGGGCTCCGAAAGAGACGGTATCCGGCATTGTTTCGGGCGGACGATGGGAAACGAAATCTCCCTTTTGAAAGAAATGACTCGATGGGATTTTCGACGTGGCGGTGACGACAAATTGCCGATGGGCAAGGTCATCGATGGCCAGTTCGATGTTGTCGGCTTTGTCTGATGGCGCCGTGGCATGTAAGTTGAAGCTGTCGATGCGGACGCGGACTTCCCTTTTCCCGCCATCTCAGGACGTCTTTGGAATTCTTTTTTGGCCCGATACACACACCGACCCTGGCCACGGGTTGACATCTGAGCTGTTCCTGGCCAGCCATCGGTATACAAAGTCGATTTGTCTTGGGTCATTGATACGGGAGTCATGTATCGTTGCCATGAAACTACCCGTCGATACCCTGGATATCGGGGCCTGCATACCTTGCCTCTTCGCCCAGTCGAGGATCTGGCTCGCGGGATTACGACGGTAATGTATGCTGGTCTTTGGAAATGTCGTAAACAAGCCATGTCGGATTCCGCGTCCAAGAAGACGGCAATCCCATGCATCTTTGAATGAATAGCTTCAGGGAGATGCCATCAACATCGTGAGCGGCATGAGCTTATTGAAATACCTAGCAACAGTATTTGCCAATGGAGGTCGAAGACGCTGGCCTCACCTCCACGTCTCTACAGATTCATCATACAATGGCATCCATGAGAGCTGAAGATGTCGCGCTGGTCTTTGGCTCGTCCAAGGCTTCGAATCTTCCCAAGTTCATGCTGTAGTAGGTTGGGCGATTCGGCTGCTTACGGCGGTTGAGTACTTAGCTACATGATATCACTTACTAAAAGACTTTACCATGCCATATGTCGTTCCCGAGAACACAGGTACCCGCCGCCACGGAACAAGTACCCATACCATACCCATACCCAAGGCACGCTCTTGGTCATTGACGCAGAAAATGATGCAATCGCGCCTGCCCGTCGCAATCGCATCGCATCGCATCGCAGCGCAGCACCGAGTAGTAAGTACACAAAGTACCGCTCCATACCGCGTAACTGCCATCGGTACCTGCTCCTCCGGTCAATTCTGCGGCGCGGGACTCCAAAGTGTCATTCCCTTCCGCTCTCACTCCACCTAATTAAATCTCACGAACGTCCAGCTTCAACTCCAGCCCCCTCATCTCTTCATCTTTCTAACCCCCTCCCATCAACCTCATTCTCGTCCGGAGACCCCGAAGCTCCTCAAACCCCGAGAAACCTTCGAAAATCGCCCAACAAGTCGCCGCGCCCGGACCGTTCCGGACGTTGTGCTGTGGCTTGCGCCTTGGACTCCGGGCGCCCTCCATATTCCCGCTCTAGACTCAACACCAACCCGTCGACGAAACCACTTGACACTGGGCAAGAAACAATGGTCGCCTTCCTGCCCGTGCTGTCCGCCCTCTTCGGCTGGGTCTACACACTCGCCTGGAGCCTCTCCTTTTACCCCCAGCCGCTGCTCAACTGGCAGCGCCGCTCCACGTCCGGCACCACGGCCGACTTTCCCACCATCAACGTCGTCGGTACGCTCTCCCATCTCCGTCTGCCTCATTGAATCGCCATCCATCCACCATTCAGCATCAAGACGACGCCGCGCTCACGAATCGCCCAAGGTTTCGCCGCCTACTTCGTCTCCAACCTCGCCTTCTACTACTCCCCCGTCGTCCGCAGCCAGTACGCCGCCCGCCACAACGGCCTGACCCCGACCGTCGCCTTCAACGACATCACCTTTGCGCTGCACGCCCTCGTCCTCAGCCTCGTCACCGCGTCGCAGTACCTCCTCCGCCCCCTCTGGGGCTTCGAGCCCAGCCCCGGCGCCCGCCCCAGCCGCTTCGTCACCGGCATCATCGCCGGCTCCGCGCTCGGCGTCCTCGTCACCTGCCTCATCGTCGGCGCCACGCCGTCCGCCGACCCGGCCGCCGACTGGTGCGAGCTCGACATTGTCTACGCCGTCGGCTACGTCAAGCTGCTCGTCACCCTCGTCAAGTACTCGCCCCAGATCCTCGCAAACTTCCGCAACAAGAGCACCCGCGGCTGGAGCATCTGGCAGATATTGCTCGACCTCGTGGGCGGCCTCTTGAGCTTGGCGCAGCTCGGCATCGACAGCTACCTGCAGCACGACTGGAGCGGCGTGACGGGGAACCCTGTCAAGCTGGCGCTGGGCAACTGCAGCTTGGTGTTTGACACCATCTTCATTGTCCAGCACTACGTTCTCTACCGCGGCAAGGAGGGCAGCGACGAGGAGCAGAGGCTTCTGCCCGAAGAGGACAGACGGCATCGCGACTAGAAGTACAAGTTCCCAGTCTCGCACTATTATGATTGCAAAGCTAGACCACGCAGTAGATATTGCCATGTCATGAAACATATCATACACATCATTGTCTATAACATCTACGGAGAGTTGGGGTATCCGTTCTATGACATCACTCAGCGCGCTATTTTCTATATTACAAAGTTAATCACCTTTCCCCCGTCCACGGGAATCGTCCTCCTAGCCAGCCGCACGTTGTACTTGCCCTCGCCAAACCGGCTCCTCCCCTCCTCCGTCTCCAGGATCGCATCCACCATCCAGTCGCGCAGCGCGTCGCCCTGCAAGCCGCTCGGCGGGCGCGGGATCGTTACCGTGGCGCGCAGCTTGCCGTTGACTTGCACGGCGCACTTGATGTGTTCCGCCTGGAGCATCGGCAGGCTGCCGTCCTGCACGGGGAAGCTGGCCGACGTGAAGACGGAGCCGCGGGACGGGTGGAGGAGGCTCCAGCATTCCTCTGCGAACGCGGGCGTGATGGGCGCCATGAGGCGGACGATGACGTCGGCCGCCTGTCTCCTGATGCCCTGCTCCGCCTGTTTCTGCTGCACGAGCTCGTTGGTGAGCGTCATAAGGTCCGACACGACGACGTTGAGCGGATAGATCTTTTCGTAGCCCCGCGTGACGGACTCGATCTTGTTCTGCGTCTCGCGCCAGAGCGCCATCTCCGACTCCCACTTGGCCAGCTTCTCCTTGTCGTCCGGCGAGGGCTTCCTCGTGGCGAAATATTCCTTCGCCGGCACCGGCTCCTCTGGCGTCTTGGCCAGCGCGACGACTTGGTCGTGGAGCTTCTGCAGCCAGCGCGTGACGCCGGCGATCTTGTGTTCGTCCCAGTTGAGCACATCGCCCACGGGTGCCTGGAAGAGCATGTGCGCCCGTGTAGGGTCGACGCCGTATTTGGACGTGAACTCGGTTGGGTCGACGCCGTTGTGCTTCGATTTGGACATCTTCTCAAAGGACACCGTCGCAGGGGCTCCTGTGGTAATGACTCGCGGCTTCAAGGGATCTGATAGGTCCACCTCAAACGGCTTGAGGAACTTGCCCGTCTCGGGATCGATGTAAGTCTTGCCGTGGACCATGCCTTGGGTGATCAGGCGCTTGAATGGCTCTGCAGACAGGGCATCCTCCTCGGAGTACTGGGGGAGGAGAGGCGTGGTGGCCAGGAATTTGTAGATGAAGCGGGCATAAAGCAGGTGAAGAATGGCATGCTCCACGCCCCCAATGTAAATGTCCACCGGTAGAGACTTGGCCGCCTCGGGAGACAGGAGCTGATCCGGGTTGTGAGGGTCAGCGAACCGGGCGTAGTACCAGCTTGAGTCGACGAATGTGTCCATGGTGTCAGTGTCTCTCCGCGCGGGGCCGTGACATTTGGGACACTCCGTCTTGACAAACTCGGGGGACGATTCCAGTGCATTGCCCGCCTTGCCCTGGGCCCAGTGGTTGTCCACCTTGGGCAGCAGAACGGGCAGCTGCTCGTCTGGCACAGGGACAGTCCCACAGGAGTCGCAGTGTATGATGGGAATGGGGGCGCCCCAGTACCGCTGGCGGCTGATGAGCCAGTCTCTCAACCGCCATCTCGTGACAGGCTCGGCAAGATTTGCCTCTTCAAGCATGCGGACCATCATATCACCCGCCTCCTTCGAGGGCTTGCCTTTGTAGATGCCGCTGTGCTCTGTCATGATGCCGTGCTCCACGTATGGCTCGTTGTCCAACACCGTAGTCGATTCATCCTCAGACGCGCTCAACACCATTCGGACAGGCTCGTCAGCCTTGTGCTCTCGCCAAAAGGCATGATCTCGCGTGTCGTGGCCCGGCACGCCCATGACGGCGCCTTCACCGTAGTCGCCCAAGACGTACGGTGCCACATAGATGGGCAGCGATGCTTTGGTAGCATCAGGAGTATGCTCGTGGAAAGCTAGAGGGTTGATGCCTCGGATGTGTGGCAGCTGGTATCCGACTTTGGAGTCTTGAGGGAGTCCAGGGAGGGTGTCGAGAAACGCTTGCAGCTCCGAATCGTGTTCTGCCAGCTGAGCCACTACGGGATGGTTGGAGGCGAGAGCAAGATACTGTACGCCGAACAAGGTGTCGGGCCGAGTCGTGAATACCTCGAGGGCAGCACCAACTTCGTGGCCATAACTTATGAGTGGGAATTTGATCAAAGCGCCCGTCGACTTTCCAAGCCAGTTTCTCTGCTGTGATATGACATGCTCGGGCCAAGCGCCGTCCTTGGCCAGCTCATCGAGCCCCTTGAGGAGGTCATCGCTATACTCCGATATGCGGAAGAACCATTGCTTCAACTTTCGCTTCTCGACCTTGGCACCCGACCGCCATGAGAATCCGTTTGCATCCACCTGTTCGTTAGCCAGCACTGTCTTGTCCACGGGATCGTAGTTGACTTCGGCCTCTGCTTGATATGCAAGGCCGCGTTCGTGGAGCATCAGGAACAGCTTCTGTGTGTGCTTATAGAAATCCGGGTCGCAAGTTGTCAATTCCTAGAATGGTGTACACCTCTTTTAGCCCGGTTCTAAAAAGACCAGCTATACGGGAGTGTTGGGCTTACCCGCGACCAGTCCCAGCTGCCATTCATCAAACCAAGTTGACTCTTCATCTTGGTAATGTTGCTCTTTGTCCAGCCCTCAGGCGGAACGCCTCTCTCAAGGGCGGCGTTCTCCGCCGGCAGGCCAAAGGCATCCCAGCCCATTGGCAGCATAACCTTGTTGCCCCTGAGGGTGTGATACCGAGCAACGACATCGGCAATGGTGTAGACTCGCAGGTGGCCAAGGTGGAGGCTGCCGCTCGGGTAGGGAAACATGGGCAAGATGTAGCTGTGCTCCTGGCCATCTGCTGCTGTGGCAAGAGACTCGCCACTCGCAGGGTTCTGGCTCTGGCTCTGATCCTGTTCCCAGACTTGACGCCATTTCTTGTCCAGGCCGACGAGATCTACCGCATACCATCTCCGGGCCAGATATCGCGGGTCGTGTCTCGCGAGGGCAGACGGCCGGGTTGTCGCCCCATTTGCGCCAGCTGCTATATATCGGCGGCACGCAGCCACGCCGGCTCTTGCGAGGCCCATACGGCTTCCACGAAGCATATGCATCATGGTGCGGGCATATTGCGGTGACGAACAGCTCTGTAGCGGTCTGTGTAGTTGGGCAGAGGCAATTGGGCGGAAGAAGAGGGAGAGAGCGTCAATGGTGGTTCGATGTTGATGTCGAAATAGCCGGACTTTTATTTTTTCTGCCGCCCGCGATTGGCATCAACCGGAGCTCCCCTAGCAAGTGCTGTACAAGAGCCGGTTACAGTGGTCTCCGGTGCCGAGACACCGTAGCCGGACCCCTGCAAATCAGTGTCGCCTTGTGCGTCATAGCGGTCCCCAGAGCGATAGCGATACCGAACCCTGGGATTCCAGCGACAACGGACGTGACTGATTGGCAACCCCGCCATGGAAGCACCTCCCAGTGCCCCGCCGGCTTGCGACAGCGGCATCGCAAAACTTTCTGCTCTGGCAATTGTCTCCCGACGCCGAATCCTCTCGCCAGCGAGTCAATTGACACCGGTCTTTGGATTCCTGGTGCCTTTGCTGCCATCACCCCGGAGCCTTGCAGAATATCGGAGTCTCTTTCAATTGGCTGAAACGGCGGCATTTCGCAGCTCTATCCGGGACTACAAACGAAAGGTAGCTGCTGCCATCCGACCGGCAAACAGACGTCAAGAGGAAGACTCACCCAACCCGCATCGAGCCGTTATCGAACGTAGCATCAGCCAGCAAGCGAGTCACGCGCTGGACGAAGACGACGACCATTGATTTCAACTCCTCCTTCTAGAGCGAGGCTCAGCCGTTGCACACCCGTGTGTTGACGGGATATTCGCTCTCGAACCGACGTTCGGAGTTCCTCAGCAAAGCGACATCTACACAACTCGACCACAACACCGCCAGCATGGACAGAATCACGGACAAGCTAGCGGCTCTGCCAGAGAACGCAGAGTACTTCTCTCTGGAGTTCTTCCCTCCCAAGACGCAAATGGGATTCTCCAACCTGCGTGTCCGTCTGCAGCGAATGGAGAGAGCTCTGCGGCCGCTCTTTGTCAACGTCACCTGGGGAGCCGGCGGCTCAACAGCGCAAAAGTCGCTTGAGCTTGCCGAGCTGTGCCAGCGGGAGCTGGGACTCACCACTTGCCTCCACCTGACATGCACCAACATGAGCCAGGCCCTGATTGACCAGGCGCTGGACGACGCGAGAGCGCTGGGCATCCGCAACATCCTGGCCTTGAGAGGCGACCCGCCCCGCGCCGAGTACCGAGACGCCGACGAGCCGACTGGAGCTGCCTCTGAGGAGTTTACATGGGCCATCGACCTTGTCAAGTATATCCGCAAGAAGTATGGCAGCTACTTTTGCATCGGAGTCGCCGCCTACCCGGAGGGGCACGGCGACGGGAGCCACCCCGAAGGCCAGAGCTTTGAACACGACCTGCCGTACCTTGTCGACAAAGTCCAGGCTGGGGCAGACTTTATAATGACCCAGCTCTTCTTTGAAATTGAGGCCTACGAAAAGTTTGAAACGAGGCTGAGAACCCACCCCAGTGGCGCCTTTAAGACGATACCGATCCTGCCCGGCCTGATGCCGATCCAGAGCTATGCGATGATCAAGAGGACGACAAAGCTGAGCCATGCAAAGATGCCGGACGAAATCATGGCCCGCCTCAACGCCGTCAAGGGAGATGATGAAAAGGTCAAAATGGTCGGAGTGGATATTCTCAGCGAGTTGGTGGAGCAGATCAGGGAGATCAAAAGCAGGACCCCCGGCCCCAAGGGCTTCCATTTCTACACGCTCAACCTGGAGAAATCTGTTTCCTTCATCCTTGAGAGGACCAAGCTGATTCCTGACACTACCGAGGAGGAGGAGGAAGCTGTCGTCGATGAATCTGCGGTGGCGGCGGCAGCGCAGCGTGTGATACCCAAGATCAGCGTCAATGGCAACGTCCCTCCTCGCGCGCCCAGTCACACGCGCACGGCCAGGAGACAGTCTTCTGTCGGGTCCGATCCGCACAACCGAGTCATTGTCGGCAGAGCTGCCACGCACCCCGAATGGGAAGCGTCAAGCACAGAGGCCGGCATTCCTGCCGGAAGCGTCAACACTCGTGCAAACACGTTGGCCATTTCGGAGGGTGAAGGGGCTCTTGGCCGTGAAGCAACGTGGGACGACTTCCCCAACGGCCGCTTTGGTGACGCCCGCTCGCCTGCGTACGGAGAGATTGACGGATATGGCGTCAGCCTTCACATGTCTGTCACACAGGCGGTCAGACTTTGGGGATATCCCAAGGTGGCCAGCGACATCAATGACATCTTCGTGCGACACATCAGAGGCGAGATATCCGCCATTCCTTGGAGCGAAGAAGACCTGCTTCCCGAGTCCTCCATCATCAAGACCCAGCTCGAGGCTCTGAACAGAAAGGGCTGGTGGACTGTTGCTTCTCAGCCCGCTGTCAACGGCTTGCCCTCGTCAGATCCCACGTTCGGCTGGGGACCCGCTTCCGGATTCGTGTTCCAGAAGTCCTTTGTAGAGTTCTTCCTGCCATCCGCGGACTGGAAGAAACTCTACGACAAGCTCACCTCTGCCGAGGTCGAGGAGGTGGTGTGCTTCTACGCCAGCAACGCCAAGGGCGACTTCGTCTCCTCCGATTCCACCGGCGGCTCGGGGCGAGTTGGCGCCAGCGCGAGCACCAACGCCGTGACGTGGGGAGTCTTCCCCGGCAAGGAGATTGTCACGCCGACCATTATCGAGGAGGTCAGTTTCCGCGCCTGGAGCGAGGAGGCGTTTGGCATCTGGGCTGAGTGGGCCAAGGTGTACGGCCGGGGATCGGACAGCCAGAAGCTGCTGGATGGAATCCGCGAGGACTACTGGCTCGTCAACATCATTCACCATGACTATGTGGACACGGATGCTCTGTGGAGGTTGTTGATTGACTGAGCTTCAGATGAGGGCTTGCTGGCAATGTTTTGAAGGAGGGGGAGAGGTAAATGGTTAGGCGTTGGCGGTTGTTTGAGATGACAAATACCACGAAAAGCATTATATCGACTTCGAGGAGGAGATAGATAGGGGTTGTGATTTGGCTTGTGTTGGATGATATAGCCGACGAGAAGTTACAAAAGCATCAGTTCATACTCGTTTTGGATAAAGGGGGAGTCGGGATAAATTGAGAGGAGATTGTCAAGACATGCGCGATGCAGCATTACTCGGCAAGGCTGCTCTCTCCCAAGCCTGTGATAACTGGGCTAATGTCACAGCACACACAATACGGTTGAACGAGCAACTCTTTCATGCGTAACCTTGGTTTTAGTTCAGACAGTTGGTGCTAAAATTCTGCGTGTGGAGATCAAATAACCGAGTTTCCTTTCGTGTCATTGCCCTTGTCGAATTCCTCGAGACCTCCCACCCACCCCCCCTATAAATGAGCATTGCATAGGAAACCCTGATGTTCTTTCCACTCAACCTATCTCAATGACTGCTCTTCAAAAGGAGGGGAGTAAAATGAAGTAACGAGACCGGGACCAAAATAAAAGCAAGTGCAAGGTAGATGGTTATAAAAGGGGGATCAGACGTGTCTGTAAGAAAACGAATACCAATCATGAAAGAGAAAAAGGTAAAAAAAATTGCGAATGGAAAACAGGTCATTGGAAATAAAAAGAAATAGGGGCAAAGTTATCTGAGGTGTGAAAATAAAACGAAGAGAAAACTCAGAGAAAAGTGCGAACATAAGAGCAAATAAGTTTCGGATATTTTTTTCCTCCTCCAACGCCGTGCATGCGTACTTCCTAATGGTCGCGATTTACCCTGTCCTTTGCTTGAATAATCACCGCGGCCGTGGTGATGACCAGCTTTGCTGCCTTTTCTTGTTTGTTTTTATGGGGATGATTTTCCCTTGTTCTTGGGGATGTATTCTCCTTTGTGTCGGTTCGTTAGGGGAACCCCTTCCGACGTGAGATTCCGAGCGGTGCTCATGGTAGAATAGAGAGTAACTTGAGAGTGCCCCCTCTTTGTACCCTCCACTAAATCTCACCATCACCCAGATCGTCATAAACGGACGCGGAAAAAGACTGCGAACCAGAGCCAGGAGCATAATGAGCCATGGACTGGTAACCAGCCACCGTCGGAGGTCCGGTGTTCACGCCAATGACCGGTCGGGTGCCAAAGGGGTTGTAGGATGGCTCGGGAGACGCGTCCCGCGGGACGAAGGAGGCGCTGGTGGTGGGCTGATGGCCGGCGGAAGAAGAAGCCTCCATCTCGGGCTGGGAGTCGCTGTTGTCGAGCAGCGCGGAGACTTCAGCGATCGTAGCGTTGGCCCGGGCAGCAGCTCGTCGAGAGGGAGTCCCGGTCCTCTGGCCCGGGAAGGCTCCTCCTCCCGTCTTGGGCTTCTTGGTCGGCGTGTCCTCGTGCTCGCTCCAGTTGTGGCCGTCGAGGACGTCGTCGTCGTCGTCTTCCTCGTCGGACGCGGAGCGCTTGATGATGCCTTCCAGCTTGCGGGCGCGCTTGCGGCCAGTGCCAGAGCCGGTGCGGCTTCCCGTCGAGCGGAAGGCGGTGGGCTTGGATGGGGTGGACATGACGCTGCCGCGGCCGGAGCCGAGGTTGAGGCATTTGGCGACGTCGCCGCCTTCGCTCTCGACTTTGCGGAGGGTGTCGGCGTCTTTCTTGATGCCTCGGAACTGGAAACCTATGCCGTCCGGCGTGGACTCTCCAAAGTATTTGGCAATATCTGTCAAGACAAGAGTTAGCTGAGACTACCTGGCATAGATGGCTTGGGAACGGCTGGTGCTTGATGGGAATGGCAAGGATGAAGGGGACGCCGGCAAAATGGAAGATGGAGGGGAGCGTGTATGAGTCCATTAGCTAAGGGCCAGAGTGCAAGGCATACTGTTCTTTTCCACCGCTTCTTGGGTAGCTGGGAGGTCTCCGTCCGGAATCATGTCCTTCATATCGAATCCCTCCTTGCGGCCCTCGCGAACGATGATGGCCTGCGCCCTGAGGCGACGGAATCGGTGGTTCAGAGCGTGCTCACTCATGTCGGATCCATAGCAAGCGGCAATTTCTGGGACGAAGAGTCAACCTTCGCCCCAATTAAAATGACGGGAGATGAGAGAGATGAGGGTTGGCAAGTGCTGTCGCGATAAGGAGAAAAAAAAAGAAGAGAGAAACATTGCGTACCTTTGTAGTTCCACTTGACCTCGGGGTGAGCAGCGACAATGGCGCGTACCATACGGGCCTGAGCCTCGTAGGTCTTGTAGTTTGCTTTGGTGCTTGCTGCGGGCATTGTGACGCTGGTCTGGTCTGATGAACTGAAAAGGTCAGTATCAAGCAGCCAGGAGAGGCGATGGCGTGATCGGATCGACGGACTGTCAAGATGATTGAAACGATCGAGATGAAATCCGGCGACTGACGAAGCCGTGAGACAACTGAGATTGCTCAAGGCAATAGTCCTAACGTTAAGGTAGGGCAGAGGCAGAAAGGGAAAAGGCAAAGGTAGTGCGCGCGGATCTCTGCAGAGCTGGGGGGTCCTTGCGCGGGCGGGTGTGTGAAGGAGAAAGAAGAGCTTGAGAAGAGGCAAGGCGAAAGAGCTGTTTGATCATGCAGAGCAGTCACCTGACTTGCGCCGGAATTCTGAAAAGAAGGGTGACGAGAGAGCAATGGGTGAAGTGACTGGGAGGTGAAGCTGGTCGGGAGGTGAGGAAGAGTGCCGCCAGCTGGCACCGGGCTGTCAAGCCAGATGTGAGCCGATGAGGACGATGGCAGCGGGGGGAAACTCGACACGGCTGATTACGAGGCAAGGGTGAATTGATGAAAATGATAACAAAGGAGTTCGACGTGATATAGAAGACTTTCAAGGGCTTGACGTGGAGACGGAGCTGAGGTAGTTGAAACTGAGACGTGTTGTCGAAGACAATGCGGCGTACACAAGACGTTGCTTAACTAGACGTACTGGTGTAGGTTTCTCAACGCCTTGATGTTGTTGAAGCCTCGGAAAAGGATGGTCCTGCCTATAGACTTATGAACAAACTTATGGTATCGTTATGAGGACCGAAGAGTTCCTGGATATAGCAGTCAGCGATTGTACATTCATGTAGCTTGGGAGACGCCACAGCATAAAGAGGACGAGTAAACAATGAACCATGAGACCTACTGATACAATGACAATGGCAGACTTCAAGAATGGAAAAGGGTACGTCCTAGTCTAGATGATCTCGTTCTGATCATGAAATGGTGGTGACCAGTGTTGAAGAGCCAATGATGAAGCCGCCACTCGTGATGCGTCCGTCTGTGGACAATCAGCTTCTTCCGTCGTGAAAGCGAGAGCTGATACAGCTTACGACCGATATCAGATGAGAATCATTACACGAGATACTTACCCGATGAGAGAAGCTGCACTGAGCCAGCGGGAAACGAGTGAATGGCTGTCGTCTGAACTGTAGTTCCAACGACGTTCCGCCCTTGTCTTTCACCGCGGTTGGCCCCGTCCTCAGCAGTATAGTACCGATTGCAAAAGGAAGAATAGTACAAAACGTTGAACTTATCGGATTGTCCTATGGAGCTCTTATCGGTTGGAAGCCCTATGTAGCTATTGCCTTACTGGGCGCGCTTCGTATACGAGTAACTTGACTGTCGGTTGTATGCCGCAGGTTTTCCCTTGCCAGATGCGATGAGAAAGTCGGGGGGCTGGGAGTGTCTCTCACAGGTGGTGCAGAGCGCATAAGGCGCGACTTTGGGGCTGCAGTCGCATTGATGGCTTTGCATCGTAGAGGCGCAATTGGGCGGCAAAGATGATATAAATTGGGGGATTAGATGTCTTTACTACTATTTCTGTGATGCTCCGCTTGAACGTGCACGTCGAGCACATCGTGGCGTTGACGCTGGTTTTCTCATAGCGGTATCACGATATCATTTCTTAACGCCAATCAGTAGCAATACATACATCGCAGCGCTCATATGCCAACGACCACCAGCTGTACATCCCAAATCAGGGAAGTTTTCATCGCAAATCTATATAGTGGCATGATGTAGCGAACAATGTCGTCAAAAGGCCCGTCTATCAGCGTGTATTCAAACATGAGATTCATTAACATTAGTCTAGTATAGGTACCCAAGCTCAACTGCATCCGCAGCATCTCTTTTCTCATGCCAGCCGTGGCGCTCATTTCCTCTCGTAGTCGCTAAACGGAGCAGACCGTCGTGTGGGCGTCATGCTCCTGCTCTGCGGCTGCGCTCCGGTTTCGTGGGCTGAAACGTCTTGCAGCGGATGCTCCTTGACACTGCTTTCGCCCGATCCAAACATCAGATACTGAATCCCCAGGAAGCAGTCGCACACAGCCTGGAAGATGCCGCAAATCTTGAATGCCAGCGGGATCTCGCTCGTGGCGGTGAAGAACCAGAAAAGCTTCATGGCGTCGCCTCCGAGCCAGCTCGCGAGGACAGACACCCGGAAGCCTTTGCAGGACCTGGACTGCAGATTGGCGAGAATCTGCGGAATCGGGAGCGTGGCTTCGACGGATAGGCCGATGTACCCGACCAGCACGGAATATGCAGGATAATAGCCGGGTGAAATGGTGGACATGATAATTTCGCCAGCGAGCAGGCCCAAGAAGAGGTAAAGGATGAATTGCCAGTACCTGCTCATGGCATTAGCTTTCCAACAATCCCAAGAGCCAGTCCCTCCAATGGCGAGACTCACGGTTTGGGCGACCTCCACTGCCAGAAATTATACGGCCTCTGAGCGAAAAGACCTTCTGGGGCAGCAAACGGCAGTCCGGCCTCTCCGCCCTTGTTTGACGGAGAGGGTCGGTGATCAAGAGCAATCTTGAGGAGGGCGATTTGCATGCCCACCATGATTAGGGACTGTATCAACAAGCTCGAGTCGAATCGTGCGCCGGGCCAGTAGAAGATCCTATTATCCATCTTCTGCGTCAGCCGTGTCTCGGATCTGTCGGGCAGCAGAGCCCCCGGCTATTCCGCGCAAAAAAGCAATGGGGGAGACAACGAACGCACCTGAAAAAAGAGGCGATGAGCATAATCAAGGGAATGTCGAGAGAGAAGCCCGCGCTGGTCTTCTTGCGGTGCATGGATAGGGCCTGGTCGCCATAGGAGAGGATGGGCGAGAGGATGATGAAGATTGGCGTGAGGTAGCCCACGCACGTCGCAATCAAGCTCATTGTAGCGGATTTCGAGTCGTCGTTCGGGAATGAAGAGGCTCGGTCGGTTTGTTTAAGTCGTCGCGATCGCGGAGCAGAGTGGGATGAATAAGGTATCCAAGAAGAAGGGGAGGAGACAGCAGAAGCAGCACAGGAGCGAGACGAATATAAAGGAATGATAGCCTGCGCCTCTTCTGCGGCGGGCGGAAGAGAAGACGAAGGAGAATTAAAAGAGGCCGGTTAAAGATGCAGACGCGCAGCTCATGTGCAAAGACGAAGCCGAGAGAGGGAATGAAATGAAGACGGAAGCGGTAAACGGACAAGAGAGAGAGCCAAAGCTTAAAATTGCTGAAGATTGACTCGGGGCGTCGCTCCAGGGGAACGGGGCCGCATCGGATCGGCGCTAGAGAGGTACGCTGCGCAATGCCGAGAGATGGGTGGACTGCGGAGGTACAGCCCTATCGCCTTTGATTAGCAGAGCCCATGGGTTTAGGTGTTTTGAGGTCCGACGCTGATTCGCTAGCCTTGCACAACCTTCTCTGTTAGCAGCATCTCGGCTTACATACAGTCATCCAGCCTTCCATACCTTACCCTCTTTGCCTCTGCTCGTTACTATCAGCTTGATGAATAGACATCAGATCAGTGTAGACCTTCTCGTTTCCCGAAGAAACCGCTAATACCACAAATTGCCATGTATCAAAGGACATCATGCAGCAGCTCCGATACCACCTTGACTAGACACTCACTTGACCGACGTTGCAGTGACATCGCGGTCCTCGGGAATTCTGATCTTCCCCTCCCGCTCGTCAACGGAATGTCTCAGGTCACGAGACATCCCCTTCCGTATTGGACTCACATCGCCTGCACTCTGAAAAGCTCTTTCTTCTCCTTGCATCAATTTTCCTTTTTCCTACTCTCCGAGCCCTACTCGCCGCCAAAATGCCAACGATATGTCACTGACTCCTCTATCAAGCCGACTTCGTCCGACATCAGGCCAGAGGGAAACTGAGGGCTCTCAAGCTTGAACCGTCTTGCTGTGCCTTGAGAGCAGTTGAGAGCAGAAAGAAAAGAAGAACCCCCGAGCCAGCTATAGCTGCTTCTCAAAAGCGGCACGACGTGCTTGTCTGACATGTATGGCTCAAAGTATGCTCAACCGCTCCAGACCAGTGCAAATCCGTACGACCAGCTTACCGATCCGTCAGAAACACCTTGGATAGAGATGCCAGAAGCTTCTCTGGACAGATGAGAGAAGGCAGGCCTGCGGTTCTCTGTTTTCCGACCGCAATTGCTCCCACTCAACCGTGCGTTACAGCATGATACAAGGCAACGTGTTTCTTTGGTCTGGGAACTCTCCAGTTCCATTTCCCCTGGTGTAGCAGCCGAAGGAGAACCACTCCGTCTCGTGTTGCCTTCCATCGAGAATCATAGATTATGCCTGGAAAATGGCGGCAACTCAGACGTGTCCAGGCTTATTCGGCCAAAGCTGGGATAGATTGGGCAGCCAGCGGATCGATATCCAGCACTGAACATTGCTGTCCCCGATACTTCGAACGTCAGGTTTTCTCTTCCACGGCCCCTTGGAGTCTCCCAGACGTGCGGCTTCTTGGCTTGCAACTGCAACCGATGCTGTTCAAATGAACACTTATTATCTCGGCATCACGCTGCAAGTAACCGGAGCAATTTACAGTATAACGCCAGCCATAAGCATCCCAAGGTCGAATGCCACTTTAGAGAGCCTGGATGATGTGGTCCAGTTCATACCTTTACAGCCTATACAGTATTCGTCGACGTTGAGGCAATCAAGGGAGAATGGCAGTGACAGGATGGTCCATTGGCCTTGAGAGACCGGTTGGCACCATACCCCCCTTTCGTCCCCTGGAGTGGAAGACTATCAGTTGAGAATGGCACAAGAACGGAGAGGCACTACACAAGGTACGATAGCATTCCAGAGCGGCTGGTACACCTCCTGCCTCTGGCGCTTGTCTTATCCGCCAAATCGACCTCGCCGTCGTCTTTCCGCAGGCAAAAAGACGATGGTGGCTGTGGTAGGACAGGCTGCGAGGGCGACCGAGGCCAACCTACAACTGTCACGAATGCCATTGTGAGCGGCTTCAAAGCTACTAATCTTCGATTAACCCGCTAATCTTCGAACAACCCGCTTCCTCTATGCAGCTCATGATGGCGATGGCGAACCTGGGCTTACACAGAAGCCGACGCACAACGGCAACAGATGATGCAACAGTATTGTCAGTCAAAAAGCAGACATTTGCCTAACGTAGACGAGACGTTATCACGACCCAAACATGGCGGTACGCCAGCAGATCATACTTTCCGAAAACCTGAGCATTGAATAGTCTACTGAGACCGCTCAGTCCCTGACCGATCTACCATTTTCAAGGGCAGACGGCGATTTTCGTGAGCAGTTCACTGGCCTTGTGCTCGTGCCACTGGACTCGGACGTTCAGAGTATTGAAAACTCCCGCTTGATACTCGCAGAAGGTAAAGTTCCTCTCAGCGGGAGGGCGGGCGTCTCTACAGCAAAGGCCCTGAACGTTCACTCAAACCTTGCCTTCCTGTCGCTTCAGCACACTCCGATGTATCGGTATTGGCCACGGCAGTATCAACACCGGTGCATATCCGACTGGCTTATAGATCAACTTTCAACTGAAAAGCCCGGGCGTCATATGATGATTGTTCGGTGAATCTTTACATCCTGGTGGCGGGATAACCAGGCGATATCCAGACCCCGGAGTACATTTACACAGCCGCATCCTCGTCACCATTGTCACAAGACCATTCAGCTGTCTGCAGAAGGCTATCTTAGTCGCTAAGGAGTCGCTGATCATATGGCAGACGACCTATCGGTATGCATCAACAGCTTATGCCGGCTTTCTAGTGTGAGCCGGCAGTCGCTCAATGCACGAAATCTCGCCATGTCTCATCATGATCATCAGCTGTTCACTACACACCCATCGGGTGGGCATTTTCTTTCAGCAGGATGAGCGCTTGCTCTCCCTACCGAGACCTCGTTAGCGAAGCATCATGCAATCCAAATCATTCTGGTTCCAGCGAATGAGCAAACAGGGACCCATGGTGATCCGTCAACAGTTGAAGGCCATCCGACGCTTCGGCACCTGGCAAGTTTAGGATTGGCGAAACACTTTTCAAGAAATTGAACAAGTGTCGGATTTTCCGCCATTCAGAAGCCCAGGGCGCCTGGACAGGGGGTTAAATCGCCACCACTTCTGAATCTGGGCATCGCCAGATCATGAGGCGGCTGGGACGTTCCGCGTTTAACTCAGTAGTGCCACACCACGGCCTACCAACAACGAAAGCACGCCGCTAAGATGTTCACAATGTGCCACACCTGGAGCGAGCGGCCCAGCCAATAGAGCCTGAAGGATTGCGCCGACATATGCGAGAAGCTACCCAGCCTGGACAAAAGATCCAGGCAGTTGACGAAGCCTATTCACGAGAGGGTGGCAACGATAATCCTGGGATGGGCTGAACTCGAGCTGCGTTGATGACGTTACATTGGTGTGTGCCGCAGCATGAAATGTCCATGTTTTCACACGACCAGCAGCCTTTCAACATCGGCACTAGGCTGTGGACCTGTGACTACAGTCACCAATCTGCCTCTGGGTGCTGTTTCGCCGAGGCCCGTCGCATAGAGCTGTGGAAGCTGTCGTCTACAGTACTTGGGATGCCGCCAATTGGCTTGTTTGAACACCGGACTTGGGATCCCCCTCTCGACTCAATTCCGCCCCGCTGCCGTTTACTCATTGGTCCCAAAGGAACTGCCTGCGCTTCACAACGGCTCCTTTATGCTTGGCACGATCATTGAGAGATGACTACCTCCGTATTCTACATAGACTGACGTGCCTTGGAACGCAATCACATACGACCATATCCATTGGAAAAAATGGGATCCCGTCCGCTCTCCCAGAGTCAAGCCAATGAGAGGCAGATTAGTAGTCAGGTGGGTGACCACTGGCGAACACCGGCTGTTGTATGTTTTGTTCCTTTTTGCTTCCACCGCCAATGGCAAGGTTGATGCAGCATATCAATGACAGCAAAACATGGACATATGCTCCCTTCTATATGGCGGTAGAGGGTGCACTCGCTAGCCTCTTCAACCAGACAAATATTACTCGTCTCATATCCGTGTTGGCTAAAGCTGGATGACATGCCAGTGCCAACCTCCTTATTGGCGCTTTGCGTGGTTGAGGCCACAAAGACGCCCCTCTATACCACAGTTCCAGCGGGAGCATAGGGCTATGCTATGCTCTTTTCAAGTCATTAAGAGATACTCGGTGCGCGTTGTATGTTGATGACAGGTTCTCATTCTTCTCACCATCCCTTTCATTCATGAGCTTTTGGTCAACGCGCTTTTCAAACTTGGGGAGGCTCTTGAGACTGCAATTTCATTGAAGCAGCCACTCTTTTACCTTTGAGCCTCCCAATTCCTCTGCGCTCGCTGGTTGCCACCTTCATATCATTAGACAACCGTGACGGAATAGAGTCATGGCAAACGAGCCATGCCAGCTATGGCGAGATTCAGAGCAAACTATGATGAGGTAGGGGCCCTCCTCTTATCGTTGATCTGTTGCTGGCAGAGTCGGTGCTCATGGATCAAGTTGCCTCTTTTTCCAGTCGGCGGTAGCGCGCGCAGGACAACTCGGGCTTGCCGTGCTCGATAACAACTACACGGCTTTTTTTATCTTTCTTGCGGTGCTACACAGCTGTGGACTACGGTCTGTGTGAGGGCTTGTCCTCTCTCTTTCAAAGTGTCTTTCCGTTCCCAGTGGTTTTGGTGTTCCCTGTGCTAATTTGATGCGTATAGCCACCTCGGCGTCCAGGAATGCTGAGTGGGCTTGAAGTCAGGATTGTGCAACACCACTAGAGTACAGGTCAACTTATTCGGCAGTAACACGCTCAGCTTTCCTGCCACGAGGACGTGTGATCACGGGCATCCGATTCGTCCGAGTCCAGCCGTGTGTTGTGAAACAGAACGCCAAACT